GTTCCACAACGTTTGTAGCATTCTGCCGATAGAATTACTAACAAGTATTCAACGGACAGTCGTGTACACATAATAACCAGCCATTAACTAATGAAGTAGTCACAGTATAAATTAATGGCCATAAATCTAAACAATCGATAATTTCACTGTTTCGGTTCTCGACTCAGGATTTTAATAAAAATTGGAGCTACATGAACAGTGGCTCTTTGAGCTGCCTGTCTACAATACTGTGTGAGTGTATCACCTACCGCTTGACGTTCTGTAGGTCCCGCGTTCGAAGCCTCTCGGTAACAGTGACTGAAGAGTGAGACTGTTCACTGGGGTGACAAGAACTGCAATAGCGTCCAATGAACGAACAACCGGCTGGCACGTGATTGGTGAACCACGTCTTGCCGGACCGGTTCTGACAAGACGGGTCGGTCACCCGGAATAGGAAATGACAGGAGGCAAGTGGAAGATCTTGTCATTAGCGAGTTCTCTTTCAAAGGCGACAATGTGAAGTCTTAACTCCATGAAGAAGAGCCCTTAGTCGCTCAGCTGATTAAGAAGCCCCCCACCCTCTACCCCCGACTTGCGGAAACCAATGGTACATTTCCGTGTTGCAAGAATCCGTCACTAGAAATTTCCCTGCTCCGTTTGTGTCGTGTGACATTTCGGATCCTCACGGTGGCAAGTATGGAGGTGACAGTCTTCTGAGATGTCGGGCCGTTCAGGGGTGCTTACTGCCTCTGTCATCAGGGCGCACCATCCCAGAAGACGGACGTCTTCAGTGACCTGGAACACTTTTCCACCAACTTGATATAGAGCTAATTCTTTGTTTTTATATTTCCTTTGCCCTTTACAGGAACATGGTGGAAATGGTAGTGTCGGAAAATGAAAAAGGCCTGGTGGTAGGAGATCAGCTCATTTGTTTTATGAAGTATGGCGGCTCTACTGGCTGTCGTTACAAACAACCAGAACTCATAATTCTATCGGTTTGAAACACACAGAATGTGGTTTACAAAGCCGAAGACCATTTATCATAGCCAGGAGAGTTATAAATCGAATTGTGGGTCAGTCATGTATGAATACTCATCATCTGACTTACAAATATCTGAGTACAGACCGAGTGTGCATTTGCTTCGTTGAACCAGTCCAGACCGAGAAAAGAAATTGTATCACTCATGTTCTTAAATCTAATTTGCTCCTTGTTTGCATGGTGGCATATTTTGAAAACAGGCAAAGCGTGATCTCATTTTTGTAAACAACAAATTTGTTATATCTACAGGAATGTCTCAAAAACTTTTTTTTCCAGTTTACTGTTAAACCTATAATTATTCTATTGTTCCTTATTTGATGTTATGAAACCTAGTGATTGATACGGCGTTGTTAAATGAACTAAGAAATAAATATGTCCATCGCAGTTCCGGTATTATTACATTTGGTGTTGTGGAATTTGATTCCCAATTTTAAACTTTATAATTTCAGATGTCGTAAATGACATACACATCAGATCTAAACTTTGTTGGGGAGTCTAAAGGTAAAAGTCGACTGGATAATATTAAAATTAATCGTAAAGAAATAGTGTGTAAGAAAGTGGAATGGATTCATCTTTCTCAGGGTAAGCTTACGGACCAATGGTTACAGCAATAAATCTTAGGATTTATAAAATTTGGGGAAATTCTTTACCAGCTGAGAGAATATTAGCTTGACAAGAGTGGCTCTGTCCCATGGGAGGTACATAGTTAACAGCAACCCTGCAATAGTAGGGATGTCCGAACAAACATGTTCTTTCTACATGTGTCCCCGAAGGTAGCCAAGGTGGTAAGGGTTCTTTAATGCTAAAGAAGGTTTTTTTGAAGGGAAGTAAATGGATTTATGTAACATGCTTGTATTCATTAGAGATAAGTGTTTCGTCTTTCCACATCAGATAGAATTTTCTTAGACAAACATATAGTTCGTCGTGGATGTGTAATTACAGAGCAAACAAAGCTTTGGAACAGAGCGTGTCGTCGGTCTCATGCAACACGCACGCGATAATTGTCAAGAGCAGGCTTCGCTGAACATGTGGCTGCAGTTAAATATGTAATTTATTAGGGACGCAAATCAATTTTTAAAATCGTGTTTCATGAATAAATCTGGAAGAAAACGAGATAATTTACTGTCGGTATTTCTCTTATTGGTTCTACCGCGTGTATAACAACGATTTTGAGGTACAGGAACAGGTCGGACAAAGCAGAACCTCGGCCAAGGAGGCATAAAGCAGTCTACGAGACTATACGGTGCAACATATCAGAAGGAAGTCATTTTCAGCACTAACCCGAACCAGCTATTCACAGTTAACATTTTTATACGTGAGATTTCCAGGTTCTAATGGCGGCCAGTATAAACATGACCTCGTTCTGCGGTGTTCCGCCGTTCCAATCATCAGGGCGATGAGTCACCTCCTGATGATGGAGGCAGTAAGCACCTCCGAAACTTCGGCCAGTTTCTATCAAAAAACACGGCGCTACATTCCAGAAAACAGTCATCTTCCACAGGCGCACATTTCAATTTATTCTTCCAGCCATACCCAGGAGTCTTGTGCAATTGCATGCTGTGCTATTAGGTATCCTTCCTTCGCTTATGAGCGTCATGAGACGAAATTCTGGTGACCCTCATCGAGTTTTCTATTTACGTTCGTCATTTTTGAGGCAAGTGATGTAACTGAAAAACAACAAAATTCCCTACTAGTGAGCCCAGCGATTTCCTCCCTCCTCGAAGTGGTTCCTGACCAAGGACACAGCGATTTGAAAATGTTTATAATATTACCCACGTGGCCCGACACATTTACAGTCGGCCATTGCGATTTGTGGCGCTCCCGATGTTTAACGGCGGACGCCATGTTGGCTGTCGCCATTTTGAGGCCGCATTCTCTACACTTCCGACGCGGTCTCCGCCCCTCCCCTCGTCGACACACTTCTCCTCTCGCAGTACCAACACAGTCCCTCTCCTTTGCCGCCGGGCACAAGCTATCCGACCTGAAAACATTTGGCTTGGCGTCCTCTGGGAGGCTTAGGCCTTTATTTCCCTGAATAAGATGAAGCCATAACCTAACGAAGTCTTAACTAAACAAGTGACTAACATGTCGATTAATGCGTTCAAAGTCCGCTGATTGACAATAGGCAACTGTCCCATTAAAGAAATAAAAATCAAAAGCACGAATATGATGCTTAATTATGACGTAATTATTATTCTTGTTTTTGTAGTGGTATTTCCTTCATGCTAGATGCAATTATATTATCACAATGGTTCGGTCGTCAGAGCCTCGTTTGTGAAGATGAGTTACATTGAGGCGGGAACGGCAAATCTTAAAATTAGAATCAAAAATGGTGAGATTTAAGGTTCTCACGGCGGGGAGTACGTCTTCTGGGTTGTTGCGCCTTGTATTCTGGTAGAATTTTATCAACCTTTCAAATGTGCTTGCTGGCAATCACCCTGATGGTGGAGGCAGCAAGCACTACTGTAACATCAGTGAATGTCTACGTGACTACACGGTGCAACAACCCCAAAGACAGTCATTTACAAGATGAAAATAATTTACTGACTACTAAACCATGCACTTAAGGACGCAGTGTTTTGATTGACTGGTTGATGATTATTCTGCTGATCAAAGAATATTCTTTTGTTATTCGTCTTCGTCGTCATAATCAGCAGTAAAGGAGTTAGAACAGTTTTCGACCGGTTCTTAACTCAGTCAATTGAATGTCTCTTTAAGACCGTGCTCGCTCTGTTTTGTGTATGCATGTTTTGTAATTTTTATAAGTAATGTGTGTGTCCTCGCATTCTGTAAACATTTTGATCGCAAGTATAGTTCCATATTCTGAGTTTTGTCCAATAGTCTACACGATATTTTTCAGTTCGTCTAACATGCATTCGTCCCTTTCATATTCTATCCAACTGTTCTTCTAATGAAATTCATTTCAGCGGCTTTAATTCTGGTTTTGTGTTTTGCCTTCATTGTCCAATTTTAACCCCGTGTAAAGCTGTTATTTAACTTAAAATATCATCACTGCCATCACAATAGAAGTGGACCGCCATTTCACACTATCATGAGAAAGTACAATCTGGTACTTGAGCCTTGAAGATGGGAGATTATGTTTCTCCAAAACGTTGTTATCTACGCCTACTGGCAAGACCACACAGGGTCACAAACCTAAGAACATCGTCATCACAATCCAGTTTTCACCTGCGTGGTATATTTTTCTAAGATAAATTTAGTTTTGTCCACTGCCTCAGCTACACGAAGGTGCATGATGCGTGCATACCAAACGTTTGCTTACATTTAACATCTCTTATCTTTTATTTAATTACTTTTAAGTGGAATGTACACGTTACGAAGCTCCTTGCTGTGTAAATTTTACATTTGCCTTCTTGCTCTTGGACACAAATTTTCTCTTCGGAACTCATCTGACTTCTTCTTTCAGAGGCCAGGTTTCACGCCCGTGTAAATGAAAATGCCATCCGTGAATAAGTATGTAGCCAGCCAGCCTTACGTTGATGGCATTTAACGTGTAGTATTTTTCGACTCAAACAACGTGGACCAAAGTTTAGAATATTGTCCACAGCATGAATACTTTCGCAATTTGTATTGTCATTAATCACGTGCATTGTTCTTGATGCAGGTATAGGCTAAATTATTAGGGCAATACGTCTTAGTAAGTAATTTCACAACTTGTGTCAAGTGATGATGATATCACCAGGTGGTGGAGTACCGATGCTGTTATCTTCTTCAGAGCGTGAGGCTAACCACTCGTCCCCATCCTGATCTGAGATGATGTGTGTACCTCTTCATGTTCACTGGGTCCGAAAGAATGGTCTAATCCGATTCCCCCACATAGGTGTTCGATCTGTATTGCGCAGATGCTTTCGTGTCCCGAGCGGGATTCGAAGCCTTCACCAAAGAAACCAACTACCCGAACAATCATCATAATGGATATGTTAGAGACGAAGGTAAAACATTTTCGGTTCTTGGTTTTCAGTATCCTGGAACAACACGTGGACCACCCGGGAAACTTCGATGACCTTGATGGTATATAGCCGTGACGTGTTGGCCAGAACGTGACTTTTATGGAAACAGGAAGAATGGCTCATAACGTGAGTACTGCGTTAAAACAGATATCATATAAAGGCTTTCTGTTCTTCGTCTGGTTGACTTATTATTTGATTTTTGTTGCCAATATACAAGCGCGCCGCTCGTGTTGACAACGCTAACTAAATTTCTCTTAACTTATTTTAGTCTGTTTTTGTGGAGAACTTAATTAAAATTTGTGTACGGTTTCCCAATTTTGTGTTATTACAACAGTCTTAAAGGAAAACAGCAGTGACAATATATAGTGTATGTGTGGTTTATAACAAGCTCTTCTCTCGCCCGAAAGCGGAAGTTAAACATCATACTGGACGCCGTGAGAACCTCAAATCTCACTCACTTCATAGATGTTTGTACTTACCTTACTGTAGGCCAATGCCGTTTGAAGAACACGAAATGAACTAGAGAATGTGGCGACAGGCTATGGAAGAGTTCAGAGAACGCCCCATGAAGGACAACCACCACCCCCGTGAACACAAAAATGCAACAGCTGCTGCTAGTTTAGGGGTTGGTTGCCTTTCTTCTGACTCTCCAGATAACGGTAGTTTTCTACCCCATAACTTTCTCCTCGGGGTGTAGGACTCTTCTATAGGTACCTTAATGCTCAAGGTCACGGGTCCTGTACAGACCCTTTCTGAAAAGTAATATTTTATCACTTCACAGTCAAACTTAGTTTTCCTTCGTACATTGGCGTACATGGAATTATTGGAACACTAATTTATAACAGAAAAATAGGTTATGAGGTTTTAGATTAGATTCGTCTGCCCTAGAACTGAGTCCAGTGGCCGTCTCTCCCGAATTCGGTTATGAATAATTATATAATATATTGTCATACAGTGTTATGGCCTTCGTGGTGGCATTGCGACATCTGAAAAAGTTTCTTGTACTGGTTTGACAAGTAGGTTAGCGTGAAAAATGGCGCCTCAGAAGAAAACACCTGTGGATGTCCAGGTTTCAGAACACAGAAGTAAGTGCAGAAGAAAACACTGAAGATGAATTAGTGTGATAGAAAGGCGATCTAAGGGTAGGTTCTTACGCATTGTTTTTCACCACAAGCTTGCGATATTGGATTCGTAATAATGGCCGAGGAGGGCTTAAGAAATTCGTCTTCTTACTTACAGATTCGTATTCGATCCTGCTATCCCTTTTGAAAGGAACTTATGTAAAAATTGTTACTGTGACGTTGTTAACTTGAAAGTTGCTATGAAAAAGCTAGTTCGCTATTAATTCAGTGTGTACAAAGCAGAAAAAGGATGCGGAGTGACATGGAGCACATTGATAGGTCATGTAAGTTTCCATGTGGCTGAAAATATGGCACGTAAAAAGACGTGCCAGTCGAGGTCCCAAAGCTTGGTGTTCCATTCGTGTTACCAAAACTGGATAAATTGAGACTGGTTAAATATATAACGTAATGCGGGCTTTGGAATTTGGACTAAGTGTTCCCAGATAAAACAAGTTGCATCCCATTTATCAGACGTCGCTATAACAAGATCGCTACGGTTCACGTGTACTGAAACGTCCCCTTAAATTAAGCCACGTTTGTTTCGTACCGCATTCTTCCGAAATTTATTTAATTCCTTGATGGTGTTTATTATGTAGAAAAGCTAGTCAATACATGTTTTACCTTCTCTGGAACCCGAAGGTCCATCACTGTGTTCATGAAAGCACACCACTGGACCCTATCCTGTGAACAATATAAATACAGATTCGCACCATCTGTCTCTCAGAACATTTTTAATATTATCCTCGTTTCTACATTTGAATTTCACAAAGATCTTCTCCTTACAGGTTCTGCAAATGGTAGCAAACATTCCGCGAATATAATCGGTTTAAACTTCTTAGTGAATGCAATTTTGATTTGTTCCTGTCGTTCCCAAATTTCTTATGTCTGCGATGTTGTAAGTTCCGACATGTCTGAGATCTAAGGTTATGACGCCGTATAGGCTTGTAGGTGGTAACCGACGTTTCGAAGGAACATATCACCTTTATCTTTATGGTGTTACAAGACCACACGGCGTCATAACCTAATATAAAACTCGTAAAATTTCTTAAACACGCACATTTTACTTAAAAACGATTACTTTAAAAATGGATACTGACGTTTACTGACACGTTAAAGTGTCGGATGGTTCAATCGGAAGTCAGTGGTGCTGTTGACTTTGTTTTGTAAACAGAGGAGTTCCGCCAATCGTGACCGACTAAAAGTTTTACTCAGTGATCATGTAGTCACGGTCTGTATGGTGTAAACACGTGGGCTTCTGTTATGCATCACGATCAGACCATCTTAGAACGAGATAAATCGCACGGATCTCTGTTATGATAAAGCAATTAACACGTGTTGCTTTTTAAAATAATAATTGAAACCGGTAGTTCTAGAATGGACGTAGTCTTGTGGAATGGTGTCTGAGATTTGAGACAATGACATGTTAACAAACATTGGGAGTCTCCTCGATGCCAAGCACTTCCATGTCGGACAGACACATACCCTATTCCCAGTGGGAGGATCATAATGCCTCTATCTTCAGGCGTGAAAATGACTGCAGTACGTTCCGCCGAAATATTAGCACTCCCCAAGTCCACGCGGCTATTATCACCGCCGTTGGAACTTCAGGTCTCAAACAGGCCACATAGGCCCATCCTATATTATAAATAGTTAAATAAATTAATCATGCGAAGACGTAGACCTATAGCCCTATACTTGATTGTCATTTCTTCCTACAAAATTACCTGAAATCCTCGTTTCGTTTGAACACATGCATGATTATGTTGCTGATAGACCATGGAAGTGCGTCGTCCTTGATTCTTACAGCGTTTCTTTACCTTCATTGTTATCTGCAGGATGTTGTTTTCAACAGATAATTAGTGAGCACGCAATTCTTCGTGTGGGGGTGTCCTTTATGAACAATAGACATAAATTATGAACAGTTGCACATTTCAGAAGACACATGTCATTTTAATGAGGCCTGTGATCTGCTTAACGCTACGACCACTTTACCCCGCTACAAACCGTGTAGGAGCCTGGTTGGGCCCCGGAGCTAGCCGGCGTGGAGCAGTGTCCACGAGCTGAATTCTACCCCTGCCGGGAATAGAACCTCGGTCGTCTTGCTCGTAACGTAGTCGTTAGACTGGCTGCGTTGTCCGAAGCC